GACCGTATCAAAAGCTTTGCTACAGTCAAGATATATCACATCCACTGTTTTCCCCTATCCACAGAGCCAGTTATCTCATCATAGAAGACAATCAGGTTGGTCAGGCATGACTTGCCCTTGGTGAATCCACGTGGACTGTTCCTGATCGACCTTCCTCTCCTCCAAGTGCTTCAGAATGGATTCTTTGAGAACCTGCTCCATGATTTTGCCGGGGACTGAAGTGAGGATGACCAGTCTGTAGTTCCCCGGGTTCTTTCTTCCCTTTTTTAAATATGGGCACTATATTTGCCTTTTTCTAATCATCCAGGACCTCCTCCGATCGCCACAAATTTTCAAAGATAATGGCCAATGGCTCTGCAATCACATCAGCCAACTCCCTCAGCACCCTTGGATGCATTAGATCTGGACCCAGGGACTTGTGCATGCCCAGCTTTTCTAAATAGTCCTTAACCTGTTCTTTCACCACTAAGGGCTTCTCACCTACTCCCCATGCTGTGTTGCTCAGTGCAGCAGTCTGGGAGATGCCTTTGTCTGTGAAAAAAAAGCATTGAGTCCTTCAGCTTTTTCCGCATCATCTGTCACTATGTTGCCTCCCCCATTCAGTAAGGGTCCCACACTTTCCCTGATCATCTTCTTGTTGCTAACATACCTGTAGAAACCATTCTTGTTACCCTTCACTTCCCTTGCTAGCTGCAACTCCAGTTTTGCCTTGAGCTTCCAGATTACATCCCTGCATGCTCTAGCAATATTTTTATACTCCTCCCTAGTCATCTGTCCAAATTTCCACTTCTTATAAACTTCCTTTTTGAGTTTAAACTCACAGAAGATTTTACTGTTAAGCCAAGCTGGTCACCTGCCATATTTGTTATTCTTTCTGTACTTCGGGATGGTTTGTTCCTGTGCCCTCAATAAGGTTTCTTTAAAATACAGCCAGATCTCCTAACCTCCTTGCCCCCTCATGTTAGCCTCCCAGGGGATCCTGACCATCAGTCCTGCAAAATTATTGAATAATCTGTGCTCTGCTGTACTATTCCCCCTCAACAGATGTCTGGGGAGTGAAGTCCCTCATCACTATCAAGTCCTGTGTTTTGGATGACTGTTAGTTGTTAAAAAAAAAAAGCTATATCCACCTCTTCATCCTGGTTAGATGGTCTATAGTAGACCCTTACCTTGACACCAACCATTTTTTACCCCTTTTATTCTTACCCAGAGACTTTCAGCCCTGCCTGTTCTATCTAAACCTTGGTATAAACATATACATCTTTGATATACAAGGCAACACCTCCTCCCTTTTTTCCCTGCCTGTCTCTTCCTGACAAAGCTACACCCTTCTGTATCAACATTCCAGTCACGTGAATTATCCTGCCAAGTTTCTGTGAAGTCAATTGTTGTAATTGTGATTATTCACTAGTATTTCTAGTTCCAGTTTATTTCCCATACTTCTTGCATTACTATATAGACATTTAAGACGTTAATTAAATTTCCCCTCTATATTCCCTTTTGTCTTTGCTGTGATTGCTCCTGTTCCCTCGCCCCCAAATTCTGACCCTTCACCCAGGTCTCCATGTTTTGCATTTACCTGTGGGCTTTTGTCTCCTGCCCCCATCAAACCTAGTTTAAAGCCTCTCTCATTAAGTTAGCCAGTCTGTATCTGAAGATACTCTTCCCCATCCTTGATAGGCAGACCCTCTGCTCAGCAGTCCTTCTCAGAATACCATCCCCCAGTCAAGGTCAAGAAAGCCAAAACCCTCCTGGAAAAACCATCCACGCAGTCATGCATTTACCTTCAGAATGTGTTTGTCTCTGCCTGGGCCCCAACCCTTGACGGGAAGGATTGATGAGAACACCTTCTGCGTCCCCAACTCTTTCACCCTCACTCCCAGAGCCCTGTACCCACTTCTGATCTGCTCACCTTGCAGTATCATTAGTACCCATATGGATAAGCAGCATGGGGAAATAGTCAAAAGGCCTGATGATCCTCGGCAATCCTTCCATAACATCTCGGATATGGGCCCCTGGCAGGCAGCACACATCCCAGGATGCCAGGTCAGCCCAGCAGATTGACGCATCTGTCCCCCTTCAAAGGGGATCCCTGACCACCATCACCCTTCGTTTACTCTTGAGAGTGGTGGCTGCAATCCTCCCAGCGTTGGGGGTATATGGCTTCTTCTCCTCCTTCTCCTTTAGGGGAGATTTCTCATCCTTCATTGCCAGGGCAGCATACCAGTTTCTCTCTATGGATGGTGCATAGGGAGCAAGGATGGAGCACTGCCCACTACCAGAAGTTACCAGAAGCCAGTTTCCTTCCTGTGAAAGAGTAGTTTTCGTCCTCCCCTGGTGGTGGTACCGCAGTCCTCGCCAGCTGGATTACTTCTTCCACCTTGGAGGTCTCCATATGCAGGTTTTCAATGAGTTCCCTGTGTGTGTGGATGCTCCTCAGCCTAGCCACCTCTTCCTGTAGCTCTCCCATCTGCTTCCACCTCTCACACTGGATGGTCTGCCTCGCCTGGCTTTCTAAGATTGGGAAATGCAGGCCACAATCTCTGCAAATCCACACCAGGACCTGGGTAGATGAATCCATGGTCGGTTCTTTTTCTGGACACAAGTGCAGGTAGAGAAGCCAGGACAAATGATGGCACTAGTGATGCAGCCTTTCCTAACCATGCTGATTTTATCCTTTCATCCTCCTATAAACTCCCTCTGCTATCCTCTTGTTCTTAAACTTAAAAATATCAACTTTTTGGCCTACAAAAAACTTCCCATTTCTATATCTAATCAATAAATTAGTTTTGTAAACTTACTGGAATTAGGTTTATGTCTGAGTTCTGTTTTTGAGATCAGTCTACCAAGAGAAAACTACCTTGTTTGAATTTTATAATGGTTTAGAAAAAATTTAACCTATGTGTTAGGTGTTCTTTTAGTGAAACAGATATTCAAAAACACGAAGACACGGGGGGAAATAAAAAGAGAAAAAAGTTACTCATCTAAAAATACAGAAAATATTTTTACTATGATATGCTCATTCTCCTAGGCACTGGATCTAGACATTCTTCCTCTGCGTTTTCACTAACCTCCAAAGAGAGAACGTGTACTAGCTGCTTAAGTGGAATGCAGATTTTGAGAGAGAGAGAAACATGTGGGATGAAAGGAACAATATAAATAGGTCTCTCATCACTTACTTATTATTTCACCAATAACCATGATCAGAAAAGTTTTCCTGAATTTTGATTAATACAAAAGATTATGATTAAAAACCCACTTTGTTAACCTTTGAGCAAAACATCCTTCTTTTGAGTTTTAAAACAAAGTGAAACTCCAAAACAACAATCCAAATCAACCTCAAGGCCTCAAAGAGAATCCTAATAAAGAGGAAAGTTTTTGACAGCTGACAATGCAAAAACATTTAGCAAACAAATCTCCCCACCAACATTAATGCCAATGATATGTGCATCAGCACCCGGCCCGGCCGCAGCCCCAACCTCAGCAGTAAAGGGGGGCGGGAGGTAAAAAATTTGGGGATCATTGACCTAAGCTTACCATCCCATGACAACCTAGGTAGGCCTACCTTCTGCAGATGCCCCAGCAGGGGGTCTGAGTTTAAATTTGTTTTTCTGGAACAGCTACCCAGAAACTGCCTCCTCTAGAGAGAAAAACCCTTATGATCCAGCCAGAGTTCCTTTGGTTCTTGTCAGTTCTCACACTTTTGCCCTGTTTGTCAGAATCAGTTCAGTAGGGCATAGCAGGAGATTGAGCCAGACTCCTCAGAGCCAATGGCCCATAACAAGCCTCAAATGTTTGCCAAGGAGAGTCTTATCTTGAGCTATTATTTTCTTCTTGCTTATAACCCACTATTGAACTAAACCAATATATTTATACAGTAAAACATTATAATATTTATAAATTACAGAGCAGTTCCACGTTTGTCACAATTACTATTTACTATTTGTATTACAGTAGCATCTAGAAGCCCGAATAAAGCCTGGGTTCCCATTGTGCTACATGCTCTACAAATACAGTGAAGGATTATCTAAATAATCAAGACAAAAGATATATTACAGTCCCCAATTTATATATGGAGAACTGAGGAGCACACAATACATAATTAGATTGTGGAGCTCATGCCACAGGATGTTACTGAGACCAAAACCTAAAGAATCAGAGACGGTTTGGACATTTATATGGATACTATTATCTCTGGATATTCCTGTTACATTTTGATGGCAATCTAAAACCCCATACTTCTCAGTTTAAGCCAATCTATAAATGAGAGAATAGGACTACACCTTCATGGGGGCAAGTTTTCACACATCTGCCTCTCCTTAATACACTAGAGGATGATGCTCATATACTATGGTGATGAGACCAGTAAAAACTTACATAGAATATGATATAATTATTCTGAAACATCTACTACTGGTCACTGCTGTAAACATGGGTCTGATCCAATATTACAACTGCTATGAGGCACAGATATTAAGTGATTTGCCCATGGAGACACAAAGTCTGTGGCAGAGCTGGGAACTAAATCCAGATCCTCTGAATCCCAGTCTAGTACCTTATCACAAACTCATCCTCCCTCAGTGGCATAGATTAACCCTGGGAGAAGCTCAGTCCATCTTTCCCTTAGTCAGAAGAATCCCTGCAACATGGAGACTGAGGGTAGAGGTAAGAAGATGGCGTATTCACACATTCCACACCCCCATAAAAAAAGTGAGTAATTTAATATTCTGATAGCTTTTATTATAAGTCTGATTTGCCTTGTCATCTTAAAGCCTTAACACTAGAGTCACTGTTGTGGATCTACAATATAGCATTCACAGATACAGAGGTATCTAATACTTTAAGCTTTAATATTTTAAGTTGGGCCCAAAAAGTTAAATCAACCACATATAGTGGGCATACCAACAATTTAGGGGAAGATTTTAAATTGCTAAAGTCTGGAGAGAAGGCAGCCTTACAACGAGTTTATTTTTTGAACAGACAAATTCAACTCCTCTTACCTTTTGATGGACTCCGGTTCTGATCTATAAATCCTTTCAGGTCTCCATTTGTGGAAGTTACACCAATCTGAACAAAACATTTTAGAAGTCTTAAAATATGATCAGCTTTGTAATTATTTTCTACTATGCAACCAACAGGTCAATTTTGCGGACTCAAGTGCTTAGGGATCACTTTTATAAGCACCTTATATTACTCACCTGCTAAATTTAAAGTCTTCAGATTCACAATGTTAAAAAGTAATCAAAAAATTGCGTAAGAACGGCCATATTGGGTCAGACCAATGTCTTGACTCTTCCCCAACAAAGCGTGTTCATCTATGTGTCTGATAATTCTGTTCTTTACTATAGTTTCAACCAATTTGACTGGTACTGAAGTTAGACTCACCAGCTTGTAATTGCCACGATCGCCTCTGGATCTTATTTATTTATTTATTTTTTAAAGTATCACATTTTCTATCCTCCAGTACAGAAACTGATTTACATGATAAATTACACTGCACAATTAGTAGTTCTGACAGAACTCTTGGTTGAATACCATCTGGTCCTGATGACTTATATCTGTTTAATGTGTAACATTTGCTCCAAAACCTCCTCTATTAACACCTCAGTCTGGGACGGTTCCTCAGATCTGTCACCTAAAAAGAATGGCTCAGATGTGGAAATCTCCCTCAATTTCAAGGTTAAATAAAGATTCCCACAGTACATCTCAGCAAAGCAAAATACAGAAACAAAATATGTGTTTCTAAAATTGTGAAACTTTCTTTGCCAAAGTTAGCACATCTGAGAGAAAGCATAGTTTATATAGCACAAGATCCAAAGTTAAGGTTCCCTCTAAACCATTTATTACTGCTTCTTTCCGCAGCTGAAAACAAGGAACCAGCCATGCTATCAGTCAGGTTTCTGTTGACTTGCGGAAAAGTATTTGTATTACTGTTGCACATAGAAACCCTAGTTCTCCTCTATACCCCTCAGGCACCACCACCACCAACCTGCACCCCCCCCCCCCCCACACACACACAGGCAGGAGACAGGGGGCGGTTAAAGGCTTCTTACCTTCCCCACCGCTTGCTGTGCTCTAAGCTCTTGTCCAGCCAGGGAAGGAGATTGCTCTGGGCCCCTGTCAAATGCACAAGCAGCTGGAAGGGAAGGCAACCTCACAACAAAACCCACCTGCCCTCTTCCTCCTACTGAGACAGCAGCTAGAACCAGGGGTTCTCAAACTGCAGGTTGTGACCCCTCAGGGGGTCGGGAGGTTATTATGAGGGGGGGTCGTGAGCTGTCAGCCTCCACCCCCAAAGCCCGCTTCATCTCCAGCATTTATAATAGTGTTAAATATATATTTTAAAAGTCTTTTTAATTTAGAAGGGGGGATGCACTCAGAGGCTTGCTGTGTGAAAGGGTCACCAATACAAAAGTTTGAGAACCACTGAACAGTCCAGCCAACCCTGCAGCATGCCAAGAAGGAAGAGAAAGCAACCGAGTGGTCCAAGTGACGCCTGATTATTAAGAGGGACAGGGACATTTCCTCCCCCTTCACCCTCCGGGTTTGGGAGTAGGGAGAGGGCAAAAAAACAAAACAAAAAAACAAACCACAGCCCTAGCATATTAAGTCTTTTCACTAGCAACCAGCAAGGCAGCACAAAACCCAGCCAGGTATCAAACCCACTTGCACTATATTTCATCTGTGTCTGCACTTCTCCTGGAAGACACTGTAGACATAACTGAATGCTGTTTCTAGAGCAGAGGTGGGAAAACTATGGCCTGCGGGACCATCCTGCCTGCCCCTGAGCTCCTGGCCGGGGAGGCTAGCCTCCAGCCCATCCCCCCCTCGCCCGCAGCCACGCCACCGTGCAGGCAGCATGGCTGGCTCTGTCTGGGCAGCGGGGCTGCAAGCTCCTGCTGCTCTGAGCAGCATGGTAACGGGCAGGGGTGAGGTTGGATAAGGGGTAGGGAGTCTGGGGAGGTAGTTAGGGGACAGGGAGCAGGGGGCGGTTGGGTGGGGTGGAGGTTCAGGGAGGGCAGTCAGAGGACGGGGGGTTGGATAGGGTGTGGGAGTCCTGGGGGCCTGTCAGGGGGTGGGGGTGTGGCTAAGGGTTGTGGGGGGCAGTCAGGGGACAGGGAGCATGGGGGTTAGATGAGGGTGGTGTCCCGGGGGGGGAGGGCGGTCAGGGGACAAGGAGCAGGAGGGTTTGGATGGGTCGGAGGTTCTGAGGGGGGCAGTCAGGGGGCGGGAAGTGGGAGGGGGCCAGGCTGTTTGGGGAGGCACAGCCTTCCCTACCTGGCCCTCCAAACAGTTTCGCACCCCGATATGGCCCTCAGGCCAAAAAGTTTGCCCACCCATGTTCAAGAGGAAAGGGCAGTCATATGGACTCACCCATATATTGCTCATCTGGCATTTTTCCAAAGATAGGTACGAAGCCTTATGCAGCTGAGCACCTCACTTCTCTTCCTACTGCAAGTGCTTCCTGAGAGAATGCCTCTATTTCACTCTCCCTACCATAGGAAGGGACTTTCTATTTCTCCTTGTGTCAAACTCAATACTGAGATGCCCCCATCCTCAGTTTACAGTTATGCCTTTCATAAACCCCCATGTGACAAGAGTGGACAGAACAAACCAAAGCAGCCCAGCAATGGTGAAAACAGTATGATGAGCCTTCCTCTTACTTCATAATTATGATCATTTTGATATTATATTCCCCAATTAAAAACTAATCTCTTCCATACTACAGAGGACTCCCACATGGTTGCAAGTGGGGAAGAAATAATTGGAAAAAATAACCAGCATATTTAGAGACTTTTAAATTTCAAAAATCTGGGAGTGGATAAAGGTTTAGATAAGGATTCAAACCATAAGATTTGTTTATTTTGAAAGAATCCCCTAGACATATTACTGAACCTAGCCCCAGTTAATGCCATTGATACTTGGTAGAAGAGCTATATGTGAACTTGGCAAGGAATGTTCTTTTCTTTTGGGAATGTCAATAACCAAAAGAGTTTAACCTGCAAAGGTGTTTTTGTTTGGTTTTGTTTTTTTATTGGGATTTCCTCTTTTTTAGGGGATGAGTTTGCTGAATCTTTATTCAACATTTTGAATTAAGGAAGCTTTTGTTAGTCACTGAAGTTAAATATGCATTAATAAAAAAAGTTTTACGTGGTCTGACATTCTATTTTCCTGTTAATAGTTCAACTGTCACACTTGGCTCTTGTGAAGTCTCCATTTCACTAGCTCCCTAGTCAGTCTTTCAGACTACCCACTACTTGAATGTACTCTAAAGTTAAAAATTAAAAAAAATAAAAAAGATTTCTGGTCGTCTTTATACTTCATAAAGCATCAAAAATGAAAAAAAAAAGGCACGTGACCAACTTTTTCCTGCTGAAGAGGTCACCTTTAATATTCCTAAAGCACAATTTTAATATTTAGCTGCTAGTGCTGTTTCCCTTCTGTTGCTTTTTATAATATCCTGCTTGAGACAACGGATGTATTCTGTTGAACGGTGTTTCTCAATGACAAGTCCATGGACTGGCACCAGTCCCTGAGATTTCCCCGACAGTTTAGGAAGGCAGTAAGCTGGGCCCTGGTATCAAAAAGGTTGAGAAACACTGCTGTAGAATACAAGTGCATGTAAACAGCCTCTTTTGCAAGGCATTTGATGCAAGGATATGAGCAGCTTCCTTTCTGTTATTTTGGCTGCAAGGGAAAGTAGTTATTATATTCTATAACAGTTCTTAGGATGACCCAAAAGATAGATGGGGTTATAGAATATCTATAAATAAATGTTCCTAACATGAACACAGCACTTTACAAGCACGTAATGGACAAGGTTCAACCCAAAAGAGCATACAATTTAATATAATACATTGGCTAAATTCAAAAGCAAAGAGCCTGAAGACTGAAATACACTAAATTTGCAAGATTTCATGGAGAGGAATATGAAGACACCAGGACCATGGCAAGCGCATCAAGATTGGAACAGGTGACATGTCTGAAAACTAACAGAATTACACTGTAATTGATCACTGCCAAAGGAGCAACTACAGTTTTAATTGCCCACCTTGCTCTGGGAAAGGCAACAAAGTTGCACATATATTGAAACTTGCAAGGGTTTTAGAGCCAGGGCTATCCGGGCCCAGCACATTAGAAACTCAGCGCCTATCTGCGGCGGGGGGGGGGGAAGGGGAAGGGGAAGGGGAAGGGAAATGTGTGTGCGCGCCTTCCCCCCAGACCCTACCCCCGCTGTGCTTCTTTCCACCCCTCCCCCGAGCGTGACACTCCCTTGCTCCTTCCTCCCTCCCGCCCAGGCGCCTCCTGACGCTGAAAAACTGATATGATATGCAGCAGGCGGTAGGCACAGGGAGGGAGGGAAATGCACTGATCAGTGGCTCCCGCCAGAAGGCAGGAGAACTGGGGGAGGGGGAGGTTCTGGTAGGCGGGCTCCTCCTCAGTCTGCTCGCCTCCCGCTTCACCTCCCCGCACGCAGGGCCCCCCAAAGTGCGGGGCCAGGGCAGTCGCCCCGATTTGCGGTACCCTAGGGACGGCCCTGTTTAGAGCAAATGAAAAAGATGGAGTATTGGGTCTGAACACAGACTCCGGCTCATAGACAGACCAAAAAGCTTACTTCCAATTCCACACCTTCACCTGAAAAAACTGGAGGGATTTTATTTATGTACGCCAATGGCAATCCTTTGAGACATCAATTTAAAATGGTATTCTGCAAAGCATTAACTTTTCCACGGTCCTCATCCCCCAGAAGAATTTGGCACCCAGTCATGTATAAGAGTGACAGCTACCTCAGTGCCATTGGCAGGGACTAGTGACACAGGTCTAGGCCACCAAGAAGTGGGTTTCAAACCACTTTAAACTATTTATCCAGACTGCATACTAACTCAAACATAACACAAGTTCATATTAAAATACCTTTGTGCTCTTTTTCCAGAAAGTATCATCCAAGAACTATATTATCTCAAGTATTTTCTGAGCATGGAAGGAGAGAGGAACTGAACAACAGTAACAAGGCACTCAACTGAGGTTCCAGATCACCACTGTGAGATGTCACTGGGAAACTAACA